TCGTCTAATGTATTTTTCCGATTATACATCTCACAGTGCTCCTCTTTTTAGTCGTTCAGGATTTCTATCGATAAAAATTGTTATTTTATGTACAAAACATGACGCTATCGACATTGCCGATCCTAGCAGTGTGCAGGACGCGTGTTATAAATGAAATTCGTAAAATTCTGCTCATCATACAGAGACTCCGTGGCGCAGTGGTAGAGCAATGGAGCGCGGAGTTCGAAGGTCTAAAGTTCCATTCCTCCTTGGAACTTAGAACTTTTTCTTTGTTCTATGCTCGTGGCAAGACGATTTCTTTACCGAGCCCTAAACTTACCATCTTTCTTATTCTATTTACATTTTTACATTTTTCTAAGTCCCTAATTAAGCAGAGGTCAATTCTACCCCAATACTAAATAAGTTCGTTTTGCTTAGAATAACTGATAAGTTAATAACTTTTCGTAGGCCTGAGGGTTAAGGAAATTTCTATTTATTTGTCAGCGACAAGCTTTTCGACTTTTGACAACAAAATAAAGATAAAGTCAAAAGCTGTGTCCTAAACTTGAGTAAAATAATTGCGAGTCTCCAAGGGGAAAGATTCCATCGTAGCAAAAAATTTATTGTACTCTTTGCCTTTATATAGTCAGAGCCCTCTCCGTGCGGTCTCTCTCTTTGTCCAAATTACCAAATTTAGGAAATCGAAATGTTCGTGATAATGCTTCATAGAACTCGTCGTTTCGCAAACAGTACACCCATGGGTTAATTGCCGATGAAGTAAACGCCACTGTTTCAACAGATGTCCACACCGTGTAGTAAACGGATTCGAAAGAAACTTTTTTGCTGAAGTGGTACACCAAACCAGTGATAAGACTTGGCAACCAGGAAACCACAAACAGCCCCACAATGAAACTCACTGTTTTAGCGGCCTTGAAGTTCTTCTTGGTTCTTTTAAAACTGTCTTGGTTCTGCGCACAGCTGCTCGTCGGTTTTATGCCATTGTAATGTGCTGAAGCGGCTTTTAAAATTCGAAGACAGCAGAACACGATAATGAACATTGCAAATAAAATTGTTATAACTGTAAAAGACAGATATAATGTTGATAAAACTGTTTTATCCTGAACCATCAACCTTGAGCAGGGTAACACAAGAGACATAAACCATACATTAGCTATGAGTAAATAACATCTTCTCTCGGTGAGAAAATCTTGGTAGCGCAGAGGATGAATGATAGCTATATATCTGTCCAGGCTAACACAGCATAAGTTAAATGATGTGGCCACAGTGGTGTGGATCCACAGGAAATCCATACCCTTACTGAAGGTGTCGAAGTAGGTTTTAGGATTATAACCCAAACATCTTATTAGTAACCACACTGGATCTATGACAAGTCCTACTAAAAGGTCCGCTGCAGCCAACGAGGTCAGAAACAGGTTGGACATTGTTCTTAGGGATCTTTTTCTGAAAATCAACCACAAGACAATTCCATTTCCAATTATTGTCACTAGCCCTGCAACACCCAACCACGTCGCTAAAGCGATCTTTGCCTGCAAAGGTAGCAGGCCACTTTGGTTCTTCAAATTGCCTGTGTCATTCATTTCAACCGTATAGAATTCTTTACCAACCTTCAGTTCCTCTTCTGATCAAAAAAATGTTTGCTGATCACGAATCATACCTTATTTTGGGCGACTCGGAAATTTATTTTCGAGACCTTGACCGTCAATTCGTCAAGACTCTTTTGGTTCGGATGCTGATAGCTTTGGAAATGTTTTGACGTTTTGTCATAATCATTTTTATGCAAAATAATGGTTGTTGTAATTGCTTGCTGTCAAGCATTGTTTTGCTTGGCAGGTGGCTCTCACTCTCGCATAAGTTTATCAATACTTTGTCGATTCCTCGGAAGAGAAAACGGATTAAATGGGTTCTTTATAAGATTTCGGGTTATTTATGCATGAATTCCAGTTTTATGAGCGAGTTTTGATAAATTGCACTCGCAATCGGACATGTAGTATCTGGTTGATCGTATAAATATTAATGAAATACATATTTAATTCAAAACGAGTGTAAAAATCGATCTTCGTGTAAACCAGGCTCCTTGAAACTACTTCAACTTCCCCAAGGAGAATGAAGTAAATTATCATATCGTTAGATTTTAAGGCGGAAAAGATTAAAGAAATTTGCACTTTTGCACCTAAGGAAATTAATTTCACGAACACTAGAACGTTTGAATTGAAAAGACCAGTGATATTTTATCGTGTGGGGGGTCTGATTGATGAATAAAAACAGTTTATGTTCTCTTGCTAATAATCCGTTCATCGTCAGTTCCCACTCATGTAATTGAGCGTGGCTCCAGTTGAAACGTTTAAAGATGTCCCCAAACTATTCGCAATTACAATTTCATATCAAGCATGACTATTTTTGCTACTCGGCAACGCATTTATTTAGTACTGGTACGCCCGCTCATATATACTAGGGCAATCAACCTTAGTGCAAGTACTTCAGAGAATACTTATTTGCGTGTGAAATTAGGAAATTTGACTAACAGCTGGCCGCCTGAACTAATAGTTACCAATTGTTCTACACTCGTAAGAATGGCAATCACCCTTTTTTAAATATTTATGATTGCACATCATTAAGTTGCATTAATTATGGCCTCTAGCTAAATGAAGAATTTCCTTGAGATTAAAGCACCATACGCTATGTGGTAGTAAAAACTATTGAGCAAAAACTAATTACGTTTTAATTATTTAGAATTTTGCAGTTGAAATTGACATCATTCTCATTATTTTTAAAACGCAAGTGTTGTCTATAATACTCTTTACAAAGGTATAAAAGTGCATTTTTAGGTTCTGGTTTGCGTTAGCTTTCTTTATTATCATAATTTGCGTGTGATCGGTCTGAAACTTCCAACTGTTCGACGTTCACCGAAAATACGATGGTTTGCTCGTCAAAAAAGTTAGATCCCTAACATGATTCTCTCCAACTAAAAAACGTCGCACTTGCAAACCTTCTAACGATAGACAATAATTTGACGAATACGAACACTCTGAAATGTTGTTTTGGGCATGAACCTGGGCGCTGGTTTTTAAAGGACGAATACCAAATGATTTCACCTCAACGTCAGTTGTCCACTTTACAGTTGCACTTTGCTTGGTTGCCAAGGCTTTGAATCGGAGTGAAGCTAAGGGTGACTGGGTTATGATACAGACCTTGCTACTTTTCAAATGTAAATTACTTTTTTTTATTATGCCAACTAGATACTGGTCTCTAGCTATCACAATGAAGTCACCTTCAGCCTCACTCCAAATCAAAGGCTTGGCAACTAAGTACGCAACTGTAAAATGGCCAATTGATTTTGACCAAGAGAGGACACTTTATCCTCTCTTGTTTTGCCTAACTAAAACCAGCGATGAATTATTAACTATAGCTCTAGGAAAATAAAGATTGATAATAATTTGTTATTATTAATACTACCCTTTTAATAGGTAGGGGGGCTTCGCTGCGCGCTTGCTTCACTCGCGCGCTGTGATCTCCGCTAAAATTAGATGACAATAATTTCTTTTTTAATTTGAAACACTTTTAATAGATTTTAAATAAAGAAAGAATACTACAACAAAAGCACTGGTAGCATGTTTTCGAGCCAGTGCCTAAGTGGTGAGACTCCTATAACTTTCGGTTACTGCGAATTAGGGAATAAGGAAGTGAGTCTAAGGATATGTCGAATGCAGGTTTTCAATAAACATTTCGCCCGTCAAAAAATGGTCAATTGTGATACAACTGGACCAGTGTCAGAATCTTACAATTGCTTAGCGTACTGACAGATCTACCCCTTATCGAATGAATACGTGACTTCCCAGTCAAGTGAGAAATACCTAATTTGATACTTGTGCCGCCCTTCCTTAAAGTCATGGACTATTCTAGTCTATAAAAATTGAGGCTTTGGGAAGGAATTGTTATGAAATAACTACAGTCTATTCTTCGCTAGCGGAAACTTGATGTCGAGACAGACAGCTCTGCTTACGGACACTGTTTTTAGAGAAAATAAATAATCGTTTCAGTGTGTCACAGGAATGTAGTGGATTGTATTGACAACCTTCGTCAAAGAAACTGAATTGCATGCCCTTTGATTAGAAAGATCTTATTAGCCCAACAAGAGTCATATTATCAATTTTCATAAGAAATATGATTGTTCCACATATCTTGCGTATTTCTTTTAGAAATTTTCAAAGAAATGATATCCTATTTATTTGTAAAAATAGACCTCCTAAAGTCGTGTTTTATGAGTAAAGTTGTCAGAGTGACATGATATTGAAAATAATTGTTAGATCTAGACGTGCTTAATTAAGAATCTAGGGCAGTTCAATTTGTTCCCTCTGCGATGATGCGAAATATGAGGACCACTTCATGTTGCCGCCGAAAATGATCACAGTTTTTGAAAGCTGAGCATGTGGCTCGGTAAAAACGAGACGAACACTCGCAAGAGAGAAGAAACATACAGAAGAGATCAAATGAATAAAGGCTGATAGTTTCGAAAGAAATTGTTTGGGGCTGCGTCGGTGAGAGTAACGAAATAATTTGGATATATCAACAAAGTTGAAATGGCAAATTGGCCACCGGAACGATTACAAAAGCTGACGTTTCGAGCGTTAGCTCTTCGTCGGAGCGAATAGAATTCGCTCCGACGAGCGAATTCGTCCGAGCGAATACTATTCGCTCTTACGAAGGGCTAACGCTCGAAACGTCAGCTTTTGTAATCGTTACGGTGGCCAATTTACCATTTCAACTTTGTTGATATATCCAAATTATTTAACNAAACGTACAGAAGAAATCAAATGAATAAAGGCTGATAGTTTCGAAAGAAACTGTTTGGGGCTGCATCGGTGGGAGTAACGAAATAATTTGGATATATCAACAAAGTTGAAATGGTAAATTGGCCACCGTAACGATTACAAAAGCTGACGTTTCGAGCGTTGGCCCTCCGTCGGAGCGAATAGAATTCGCTCCGACAAGCGAATTCGTCCGAGCGAATACTATTCGCTCTTACGAAGGGCTAACGCTCGAAACGTCAGCTTTTGTAATCGTTACGGTGGCCAATTTACCATTTCAATTTTGTTGATATATCTAAATTATTACAGAAGAGATCGCCTGCTAAAAGCTAAGGAGCTGGACCATCGTTTGCCCCCTTTAACTTCTATCACCAAGAATATCGCGACATTTATAGCATCAGACTGTAATATATTTTCCCCCAAAGAGGCCTACTCTGGGGCCTTAAGTCGCTGTAACTTTGGGCTACTTTGAGCGATTTAAGGCGACTTAAATCGACTTAAGCAAAATTGGCAGAAAAAAACATTGCGACTTTAGACAATTTAAGGCAACTTAAGGCGACCTTAGGCGACTTAATATAAGGTAACTTAAGGCGACTTAAAGTGAATTGATTTGACTGAAGTGATAAAATCAAAGTTAGCAATAGTCTCTCCATAAACCTTAAAAACATTTACAGAATCCCTTGCAATAAACACAATAGTCATTTTGGTTACTTGTGTATGTTCATAAGTCACCATAGTCTAAAAAATCCAGATTTCAAACCAATTTAGCTAAAAATAATCACACAGAATTACCACAACAGTTATTGTTAAATTATACAGTTAAATCTAGTGAATAAATAGCCAGGAAACCAATTTAGCTTAAAATGTTTAGACAGAATTACCTCAACAGTTATTGTTAAATTATGCAGTCAAAGCTAGTGAATAAATAGCCAGGAAAACATTATGGGTGATATTCCCAACATCAAACAAACCTATCAAAAATATACACATAAAGACACACATTTTTAATTTAAGAAAAGAGGCATGATTTACATAAAACTAACAGTACATTTCCCACATAATTAATTAAAAATAATTTGATTATTTAATTATTTCAAAAAGTCTCCCAAATTATAAAAATTATTATCTTGGTAAACTTGTCTTCCATATTTTTGCCACTGACTTGCACTGTCAATTGTGGCATGAAAGTTTGGCAAGCTGCATGCCTTTCCAACAGCATCCTAAATTTCTCGGTCCTTTTCAACGACCCAACCAATTTGTTGTTCTCCTGCCTCAGTTAGACAAAACACCCCAATACCATACTGAGAACCATGTACATGCTAAGGTCTTTCTCCACTGTTGATCGGATCAGCAGGACCTTCTGCGTTCAAGATTTATCTTTAGCCTGGTGGCAGTATTACAGGTTTGAAAACATTCATTGTTACCTCACAACTGTCCAGAAACTAACGAGTCACGACGAAATTCTCCAAGCTGATAACTGCCTCTATAGTTACAATGAATATATGAAGTTCATTTATTTTGAAATGCGGTTGTAGATACGTATGATGCATGATCCTCGCAGTAGAGAGCGCTATTTATGCAATAGCGAAAATCAGACCTGAAAAAAAATCAGGCCCGTACAGGCCTGATTTTTTTTCCTTTCCAATGATGCAAAATATGCATGAGGACCACTTCAGTCCGTCATCGACATTGATTACGTTTCCAAAGTGCATGTGGGATCTGCTTTGTTACTGAAGAACACCAGCGCAAGCTAGAAGAGGAATACAAGAAGATAGTCGCCTGCTAAACACTAAGGTCCACAAATATGGTTTTTGCTGCAACTTCTGTCACGGAAAGAATGTTTCGATTCGGCATAAAATTGTAATTTAATATTCTGTTTGAAGACATGTAATTTAAAGATGACGGCTCCATCCATTGC